TTATTTTGAGACGAAGTCTTACTCTGTCGCCCAGGCTGGAGTTCAGTGGTGCCATCTCAGCTCACTGCAACCTCTGCCTCCGGGGTTCAAGCAGTTCTCCTGCCTCAGCCTCGTGAGTAGCTGAGTCTACAGATGCATGCCACCATACCCAGCTAATTTTTGTATTTTTAGTAGAGATGGGGTTTCACTATGTTGGCCAGGCTGGTCTCAAACTCCTGACCTCGTGATCCGCCTGCCTTGGCCTCCCAAAGTGCTGGGATTATGGGCATGAGCCACCATGCCCGGTATTTTTAAATGTTACTGTTTTAATGATTTTAAATAGACCCTACTGTTTTGATATGTTTTTCATATCAGGGCCCCACCTGATGTCAGACCAGGGCCCCACCCTCATGATCTCATTTAACCCGAATTAACCCCTAAGGCCTTTTCTCCCAATATCATCAATATTGGGGATTTGGGCTTCAGGATATGAATTTGGGGAAATTTAAATAATAGTTGCAAAAATAGTGCAAAAAGTTTACACATACCTTTTTTTATTGTTGTTACACATACCTTTTTTAAAAAATTTTTAATTTTTTTTTGAAGCATGAGCCACCATGCCCAGCTTACACATACCTTTTACTCAGCTTCCTCTAATGTTAAAATCTTCTATAATCTTGGTACATTTATTAAAAGTAAAAAATTTGGTTCAGTATTATTAACTGAACTATAGACTTCATTTGGTTTAATGTGTAGAAAAGGAAACTTAAAACATTTAAGGAAATGTTAATTAAAGGAAACTTAATTAAAATGTTTAGGCACACCTTGGTGGCTCACACCTGTAATCCCAGCACTTTGGAAGGCTGAGGCGGGCAGATCACTTGAGGTCAGGAGTTCAAGACCAGACTGGCCAACATGGTGAAACCCCGTCTCTACTAAAAATATAAAAGTTAACTGGGCATGGTGGTGAGCATCTGTATTTTTGGCTTGATCCCAGGAGGCAGAAGCTGCAGTGGGCTGAGATTGCACCACTGTACTCCAGCCTAGGTGACAGAGTGAGACTCTGTTTAAAACAGACAAACAAATATCTGTTGTCCATATATTTGTTGTGTATTCCTGTAAGTGCACCAAACCCTACTTTGGGTTAAGTCATCAGAAACAACATGCTTGAATTCTGTGATCTTAACTTACGTAAAGATGCTGAGTGCTGTGTTAATATTTTGTTAGCTGTTGTATGAAAGGAAAGAAGGCTTAACATTCCTCTGCACAAAGATGAAAGAGGCCCTTGGGCCCAAGAACATGCATAGTTAAGGCATTGTCACCTACTTCGTGACATCTAACCATGGTTGAATTATTTTTTAAAATTAAAGGGAAAAAAATTATATTATGTTACCAGTATTTGTGGTGTTCAATTTTTTTTTTCTTTTTTTTTTTTAAAGATGGGGTTTCACCATGATGGCCAAGCTGGTTTTGAACTCCTGACCTCAGGTGATCCACCCACCTTGGCCTCCCAAAGTGCTAAGATTACAGGCATGAGCCACCACACATGGCCACGGTGTTCAATTTTTAAAATGTGTTTTTGGTAGACATTTATGTTGCCAATTACAGATGTAAAATTGACATGATTTTACTAAATGACCTTTAAGAAAATACCTGTATAAAATATTTATCTTTGAATTCATTTAAAGCATTCTTCAATTGAATATTAAATGCTTTCTTATTTCCTATTCAGAAATATATAATATTTTGCTTTAGCTACTAGGATAAGTTGACACAAATAACTTCTCATTGGTACCTGGCAAAATACATTTGTTTTCTTGTGTTTTTTTAATTAAAAGAAGAAATCAGTAATTGACTTGTATAACACTCCTTATTTCTGGAATGTTGGAGAAAAGTTTGTGAAAAATACTCTTATAGACCTCCTGAAGTCTCTCTTTGTTGCATCTTGGTTTATATGGCCCAGATGAGTAAGGTAGGAAATCAATGGAAACCTGAAGATTCTTACTCTGATTTGATATTGAAATTTTACCTAGCAAATGTGATTTCATAATATACATTATTAAAGGTTTAAATGCCTTTTTATTTAAAAAATTTAATGGGGACATACATATATTATAGGTTTACCTGTATGATACATCAGCTATCATTTAGAGCATGTTAGTATTTAGGCCACTGAATTTGTACTTTTCAGAATGAGCTCTGATTTATAAATAATTTGTCACAAGCAGTATTTTATGCATATTTATGTAATTCTTGGATTTGCAGATCTTATGCATTTTCTGTTAACATTTTAAGGTATAAGGAAAATGTTTCCTAAGTATTGACATGCCCAAATTTGGCCATATATCAGAATCATGTGGAGAAGTTATTAAAAAGAATCCTGGAAATTTTTATTTAATTGGATTTGGATGGGGTATAGGCTAGATAATTTTTGATTTTAGCTTTTAGAATCACCATTCTAGAGTCTAAGGACTTCCCCATTTTTTTATAAAAAGAATTTATTAACTTGAAATTCACATACATAGAAGTAACCATTTAAGGTAAACAATTTTCAGGGAGATCCCTTGAGCCCAAGAGATGGTAGTTACGGTGAGCTATAATCATGCTACTGCACTGAGCTGGATGACAGAGCAAGACTGTGTCATTCATTCATAAATAAATAAGTAAATAATTCAGTAGTATTTAATACATTCATAATATTGTACAACTACTGTTTTTTTTCCCATTTATTTTATTGCATTTTACGTTTTGGGGTACATGTGAAGAATATGCAAGATTGTTGCATAGGTACACACGTGGCAGTGTGATTCACTGCCTTCCTCCCCATCACCTACATCTGGCATCTCTCCTCTTGCTATCTCTCCCCAACTCCCCACCCCCCACCGTCCATCCGCTATTTCCCCTCAACTGACCCCAGTGTGTAGTGCTCCCCTCCCTGTCTGTGTCCATGTGTTCTCATTTTTCAACACCCGCCTATATTCTCAGCAAACTGTACAACTACTGTTAATACCTCTATGTAGTAGTGAAGCATTTCCATCACTCCAACCTAAAATACATTACATATTAAGTAATTTCTCTCCATTCTCATATTCCCTCAATCTCTAGCAACCACTAGTCTACTTTCTGTCTCTATAGATTTACATGTTCTGGATATCTAATATAAATAGAGTCATACAATATGTTACCTTTTGTGTCTGGCTTCTTTCACTCAGCACAATATTTTAGAGATTCATCCACCTTGTAGTATGTAGCAGTACTTCATTCCTCTTCATGGCTGAAGAATATTGCATTAGATAGATATACCACAATTTGTTTCTAAATTCATCTTTTGATGGACACATTTGGATTATTTCTCCCTTTTGCATATGTGAATAGTGTATGTATGTGCATGTACTTTTTGAGTACCTGTTTTCAGTTCTTTGGGTTATATACCTAGGAGTGGAATTGTGGGGTTAAATGGGAATTCTGTGTTTAACATTGATTGATTGATTGATTGATTGATTTGGACAGAGTCTTGCTGTCACCCAGGCTGGAGGGTGATGGCCCGATCTTGGCTCACTGCAGCCTCCATCTCCCGGATTCAAGCAATTCTTTGCCTCAGCCTCCAGAGTAGGTGGGACTACAGGGACCTGCCACCATGCCTGGCTAATTTTTGTATTTTTTAGTAGAGATGGGGTTTCACCATCTTGGCCAGGCTGTTCTTGATCTCCTGACATCATGATCCACCCGCCTTAGCCTCCCAAAGTGCTGGGATTACAGGCCTGAGCCACTGCGCCCAAC